AGATCTACACTGGATGCTATGATGGCAGTGTCAGAGCTGTGAGGCTTAATCTGATGCAAAATTATCGTTGCTGGGTAAGGAGCAAAATGTTTAACCTTCCTTTATTGTAGAATTTCCTAGGGGTATTCTCTATACTCATTTAGTCTTGGATAGCTTGACATTTAATTTATAATAATTCACTGTTTTTTTAAAAATGTGGATGTACTTTTTAAATGTAGGTATATATCATGAGTTCAATTTTACATTGTCTTTGGTGTATATATATATGCTGTGGAACAAGTTGATAGTTTAAGTTATTTTTCTTCCTGGCAGTTTTTAAATAGTGACATGTAACTGTTTAAAACCAAAAACTTAACCTGAGTGACACAGACAAGCTGATTTGCTCTGCTAAGTAAGTTTAATTAAATTCCAAATGACTCTGTCACAGATAAGCTTAAATCTTGTAAAGACTTAGTTCCTGTCTTCCTCCTGTCATTCCTGCTGATGGTCTAGGCTTGGATAGAGGCAGGAAGAATTTCTGTAAACTGTAATTAAAGGAATAGAGACCATTGAAAATGGAAATGCAATAGTAAGATAAAAAACTTAGAGGAGTTGGCATGTGTGTTAGCAGTTTTGGAAGAATATTGTGAAGTTGCAAGAATAAAAGGATTAGCTAAAATTCTATTTCCCTGGCTTATTCTGGTATGTTTTTTCTACCAGTGGCATGGATGTTCACTGATCTTTGGAGTTGTGGATCATCTGAAACAACACCTGCTAACTGACCACACCAATCCAAATTTTCAGACCCTGAAATGTCGTTGGAAGAACTGTGACGCTTTCTTTACTTCCAGGAAAGGTTCCAAGCAGGTACATAGTTGAAATAACGTGGTTGTATTTGATAATAAAAAATACTTTATATCACCACAATTGTGGAACTTGATCCTATTTCTCTTAAAAAGGGTTAAATTTTTCTAGTCTTGGCAGACTTAACTGAGTACAGTTACAGTCATACAGGGCTTGCAGGATTCACTTCAGCCTGTGACAGATGAAAAGTGCAGCTACAAGATATGGTTAAAAAAACCCAGTTAAAACAGTTTCATCAGTTTAAAACAGTTTGATTGTAAAATATGTGGAAATGGTAAGATTCTTAAAATATTAAAGAAATTCTACTCAAGATATTAGTAAGTTTCTGTAGGAAAAAGATATTTTTAAAATGAACAAACATCAGCCTTGAAAACAGGTTTTTATCCCTTTAATTCTTATCCATCACTACCCCTTTCATTGTTCCAGATGATGATGCTGTATATTTTTCACGTGAGATTGTTAGCAAAACCAATTTTTAAATAAATAGTGGATAAATTTATGAGCAAAAGTTAGCTCAGATTGGGAAAAAAAAATTAAGAATGCATGGGTTGGGCTGAGTGATGTGGAAAGGGTTGGTTGGTGGGTGTAAGGAGGGCTGTTACTTATAGGCTTATTGGTAAAATACACATTTTACTCCTTGGCAATATAAACTACCTTCCTTTGAATGCTTTCCAAAATATGGAGAAGGAAGGAGTTTCTTTGAGAACTAAGAAATCAAAGTAGAATCCTTAATTTCTCTTTAAGCACTGGCTTTGGATATGATGTGTCTATCTGATTTGCTCTTCTAGTCAGAAAAAAACTGGGTTTTATTTGCCTTAAATTATGTGGTATATGAAATACTTTATATATGTGATTTAATAGCTTGACATTGATATTTATCTTTTTAGAAGCTTTAAACCAAACAAATATATATTATTTAGAATTCCACTTTCACTGAGGCTTCAAGAATCTTTTGCAAAGTTTTCTGTGGGTTTTTTGTGATGATGATGATTGTTTTTAATTGACTTCTCTGGTTCTTTTCTAGGATGCTGTAGGACACATTGAAAGACATGCTGAGGATGACAGCAGGATTGACTCATGAAGCTTTTCACCTCCCACATTGGGAAGTAATTTTATATGTCAGAATTATTCCAAATAACATCTGTTCCTTTCTCCAGTCTTCCCTCTTTCTTTTCCCACTTGGAATGTAAAAACTGAGTGGGGCTGAAATGCATTGCTATGGAGACTGCAGGTTGTGTTGCACTCTGTAGAAGCAAGGCTGGTCAATTAAGATTTAGCCCAAATTCTTGCAACTTTTTAATTCATTGACAGACGAGAATATTCCCTCCTCTTGTCTGCCTCGGTTTTTATTGTTTGGGGTTTTTTTCTGGTGGTTTTTTGTTTGTTTGTTTTAAGATGTATAGTCTTTGGGAAATCCAGAGGGGTGTTGAGAACTTAGATTCCAATAGGTGCTGGTGTTTGCAAACTCAGCTTGAGGCCTGTTAAACGTCTAAGACATGTCTGTTTTTATGTTGTATCCAATTTTTTAGCCGATTTTGATAAAATTCTGCAAACTAGAATATCACAAATTCTAAATGTAACCTGCATTTCTGCTGTACATTTTTACTTTCTTCATAGAAAGAAAAGGTATTTTATGGAGACTGGAATAAATTAATTTTTTTAATGTTAATTGTAACTTATTTTTTATTCCTTATGTAAAAATTGCTATAACTGGCACAATATATGCAGTGATAGATACCATACCTCCTGATGTATTTTGTTTATTTGTGGGACAGCAGTTATTTCTTGAGAATTATGTCAGTAGAGCAAAAACAGCCAGAACAGTGGCTCTACTCATGTGCTTTGCAATCTTAGTCTTTTTAAATATAGGTCTTTATGTACAGGAAAGAAGTAAGTGGTGTCTGGTTTGTTTTAGTTAAAGACCAGCATAACCACTACTGTCTTGGTACAACACCACAGTTGTATTCCTGATTTTATTTGAAATCTTAGTGACTGAGCTTTGCAGTCCCATATCTTCAAACAAAGAGAAATGCAAAGGCACTGCCTGTCTACGTGCATCCACTCAGGCAGTTTTTTTGTTTCTGTTGTTAACTGTCTTAATTAGCTTGGGCTATGTCAAGTTCACAAAATGTCAACTGGAAAGAACTGAGCAGAATTTTAACATCTAAAGTACTCAAGCA